GAACACCTGGCGTCTCTGAAGCCCCCCTGGAGAGCAGAGGGTATTTCCCAGTGGTAATGCTGAAAACACACACTCGTTGAAAATCACTGGCCGCGATGGATCCTCTTTATTAAGGGGAGTGATGCTGGCTGCTGCGTCGTTGTTTTCCAGCCTGATCTTAGTCTGCTGGGGCCATGATGTTCTTCCTTCCCTCTGTACGCAGGAACAGCAGCTCTGCCTCCAGATATTAGGGCTTTTACTTGATCAAATCAAGGGCTTGATCCAAAGCCTGCTGACCTCAGTGGAAGACTCCAACAACCTGCAGGGGGCTTTGGATCAGGCCCAAAGAGAGCCCCAGTTCACCTAGACCCTCCAGGCTGCGGGGAAACCGAACAAGCTGCTTGCTTGCTTTGCTATTATAGAGGGCAAAACTGCTCACCTCATGGAATCACCTCACGGCCTTGTCCCCCAGCAGACAGGCAGGGGGGCCCTGTCTTGATAGTTAAAGGTTCAGGACAAAGGGAACAGATTCCTAGCAACACATACAGATTGCTAGCCTGGGGCAGGCCCTGGCCCTAGCCACATCTTCCCTTTAAAGCACTAAAGATGGAAACTAATGCCTTTGAGCTGACTCTTTAACCACCAAATGAATAATGGGCCAGCTCCTGATACCTTGACTGAGTTTTTTTTTCCTCTGACCAGATCCCGTTGTCCCCAATGCAAGGTTTGTATTACTGTGAAATAGACCCCGGGCTGTGGTTTGGTTTCCTTAGAGGCAGAATTTCATATATCTCCGCTACACTGTTAGCGCCCTCAGTCTCCAGGCAAAATCGGGGCCTCACTGTGCTAGGGGCTGTACAAACCCATAGTGAGGGACAGTCCCTGCCCCAAGATCTTACACTCTTGGTAAGGCAGGATTCTTAGCCCTGTTTTACAGCTTGGGGGGGGGGGGGGGAGATGACGGGACTTGCTGCTGGTTATACATAGCCTGTGACAGAGCCAGGATCAGAACCCAAAGCTCTGGAGTTCCCATCCATTCCCATCCGGGGGGAGGGATAGCTCAGTGGTTTGAGCGTTGGCCTGCTAAACCCAGGGTTGTGAGTTCAATCCTTGAGGGGGCCATTTGGGGATTTAGTTGGGGATTGATCCTGCTTTGAGCAGGGGGTTGGACTAGATGATCTCCTGAGGTCCCTTCCAACCCTAATAATCTATGATTCTACCTTCACCACAGGCCAGTCCTATAATCCTCTCCAGTCAATTTAACCCTTTACTGTCCACACGATAGTTTAGTTTTCTCAGTTAGATATTCACTGTTCACCCACCTTCCATGAAAGCAATAAAAGACTTGATGCAAAATCCCAACCGTGCCTTTTCTTATTGATAATCTGCCGTGGAAATCCTGTCTCATATTCAAGCAAAAGGGTAAAAAACAAACAACAAACCCAAGGGCTGAGTGTGTTTTAGTTAAAGAAAACAGAGCAGAATTTAGCCCGGTATCTGTGAAAATCAGGTGTAATTCCATTAAGCCCAGCGGAGTCTCTCCTGATCTACACTAGCATAAGTGAGATCAGAATCTGGTCCGTTGGATCTATAAATGACGTGAATACTATGCAGCTTTTAAAATCAGTGTATGGGAAGGGGACCCCCTGTGGTGGTGTGCTTCGTCGTTATGTTTCCGATAGTTTGCAGAGCTTAGGGGTAACTATGCTTTTGGAAACAGACTGTAGTCTGTCTCTCTCCTCTTAAGTACATCTCGGATTTAGCCCAGCGGTGGCATTGGCTGCACTCTGAGTTTTGGCCTCTGAAGTGCTGACTTTTGTGAATGGAGGATTATGGAAAAATCTTTTATCTTTTTTTTTTTAAATCTCTCTTGCTGAAGAACCCAGCAGTTTCCCAGGAGGAGAGCAAGCAGTCAGTGCTGCTTGAAACCAAAGCTTAAGAATTCCTTTATGAAGAAGTTGCCTAATTCTCTGTCAAGTCTTAGCTAGGAAACTGCTTTAAAAGCAAAGAACAGTGATTTTAGTGTGGAAAGAGATGGACAAGTATCTGTCACAGAACACAGCGCCGGTAGTAGCTACCGTCAAGCAGAGGTTATTGTGAATAGACCTGGTCAAAACTAGGGATTTCCATTTCATGGGACATTTTGCCATTTCAAAATTTGTTTTCATTCCAAACCAACTTCCCAGCAAACAGAATTTTTGAAAAATTCAGTGGTGGGAAATTTTCGTCTATCTATGTCCTCCTCTTCCGAGACTTGCGATGGTATCTTTGAGTGAGGCAGACGCTTTTCAGGTGGGAACAAGGCTGAGATCAGCCAACCTGTTTTACCACCGACTGGTAAACATTTAGTAACTACCAAGCTAGGCTGGATTTGACCCGGAATCCTGTAGGTGAAATTCACTAGATCCCCTGAGCCTCTGAGAGGAGGTTGAGTTGTGGGTCAGGGAGAAAGGGTAGATCTGGATTTTCAAAACATCTCCTCTAATCTTCAGATGGAGCCAAATTTTTCAGCTGGTCCCTATTTAACACCGCCTAGTCCCATTTCCTCTATCTAGCATGCTTTGGCTGCGAGAGCCGGTCAAAACGAAACCCAAACCGTATCACCTTGAACTCTGCATCCAGGTCCAAACTTCATGGCTTGGGCCTGCCGTGGTCGGTGGACTCACCAAGATCCAACCAGGACACTTTTCCCATGGTTAAATAGTAGTGCTCGATGCACTAATACACAGAGCGCTGCTGGACAGCGGTGAACGTGGCTGTAACTAACACGTGCTCGTTCATCTCCAGTGACTCACCGGGGGTTCATCGGAAAATCATCGGAAGAAGCTGCGTTGTGCAGATGCAACTCTGCTGAGATGTCTTTAAACGCCAATCTGTGCTTCATTAGGCTGGGCGGCTTTATTGATTAAACAGCTCTTGCTACTTTTCCAGGCAGGCGTGACTTCAAAGGGGGACGGGGGACGGGACGGGACACCCAGCATAGCCCACTTGAAAGCATAGTGCAGAAAACCAATGCCTGGCTGCTGGCACTTCCTCAGCGAGTCGTTGAAAGTAGTGCTTAAGAGTGAGCAGAGGTGAAAGAGCACCATTAATGGAGCTCTTATGTTTATATCTTATAAAGCCTGGTTATACAGATCAATCTTTGGCGTGGAGCTTGTTTTCAGACATGGTTAAATGTGTATAATAGGGCAGGGGGGCTGGGGCTGGAATTGGAATGGGTTTAGTTGCACCGCCCGTCGGCCAACCTGCCACGCCGAGATTTCCGTTCTGCGAAGCGGCTGCCGCTCCAGAGCCTCTTCTCCATGTTCCCGTGTAACTTCCATTGCAACTGCTGGGCAAAGGCCTGGCACAATCTGATGGATTAAATGTAGCACTAGAATCCAGGAACTTCTGTGCCATAAACCCATGACAGCCACTGACTTGCTGGGTCGCCTCGGACAAGTTTAGCTGAATCTTCTGAGTTTGAGTCTAGCTGTGTCTCTGCAGGCTTGTATGGTGGGGGGAGTGGGATCCTTTCTCCCAGCCCGCAGTGCATGGGCAGCCAGACTCCTGGAGTTAGCACCCCTTCCGGCCAAGGTGCATTTGAGCGGAATAGCTGGATAGGGCACCTGCTGGCATTAGGAGGTGTTCTATCTCCATCAAGGAGACATAAGAACTGCGGCTGTGTGCCCCCTGGAGGCATTATTATTTGTATTCCCTTAGCACCTAGAAGCCCCAACTGAGATCAGGGCCCCATTGTGCTGCACATACTTCTACACTGCAACTGGGAGCGTGCTGCTCAGCGCAGGTAGACAGATATACGCTAAAAAGAGCCATGTAGCCACCTGAGTACAAACCTGCCTGGAACCTCTGCGTGCGTATTCGGGTGGCTAGCCTGAACCACTGCCTGTGCTACCCCGGACGACACTGCTATTTTAGTGTGCTAGTTTGAGCAGCTGCAGCGGAGACGTACTCCGGCTGAGACACAGCCCCTGACCTAAAGAGCTAATCATGTAAATCGTCAAAAGACAGGCGTGTTTTCAATTTTGGATGAAAAGGTGGCAGCACAACAAAATATTGTCATTTTAAAGCCTGCAACCAGCTTTCATAATGCACGCCTGTCATAGGAATTTGGGAGGATTCATTAGCTAATGTCTATTAAGAGCTTTGATGGTTGTTATTGTTACTGATAATTATTTGTATTACAGTAGCACCTATGGGGTCCAATCAGGGCTCAAGGCTCCATTGTGCTAGGCATTATGCACACCTTCCGTGAAAAGACAGCCACTGGGCTAAAGAAATTACAGTCTAAGACCCCGAGCCGGCAAACACTTAAGCACGTGCTTAACTTTATGCCCGGTAGGTGGAGCTGACGGAATTTTTTTTTACTGAAAAATTTTCCCGTTGGAAAACGTGGCTTTGCCAAGATTGGAATTTTCTGCCGGAAAAATGTTGATTGGATGAAATTTCCCAGTTGGGGGAATCAAAACAAAGACCTGCATTTTGAATGGCCACTTGAAAACGAAGCCAAAACTTTTCATGTTGACATTTTGTAAAATTTTTGTTTGCGTCTAAAATGTGGTAATTTGCCATGTTGATCTTTCCAATTAAAAACCCTTTTTGGGGGTCTTTTTTCACGTAGCAAAATGTTTGAATGCCGATTCAGAATGGAAAGTCATTTCAAAACTTCTCACAAAAGAAATATTCTGTTTCTTGAACAGCTCTTAACTGTGGTCCTGATCCAAAACCCACGGCGGCTCTTCCCAGGGACTTTAGTGGAGCTACTCACAGTGCATAAAATTAGACCCTGTTCTTGTAAAGACTCACAAACGTGCTTAAGGGTAGGATGAGAGACAACAGTTGGACAGTACAAGCAGATGGGAGAAGTGCCAGGAAATGGTAAAATGACGATCGTCAGTGTAATAAATAGTGAGGTGGAATGCTCCATATTGTTACTGTGATGATGATGTACCAAGCCTTTTAAATGTTACTTGTTTGGAAATTGTCAAATGCTGAAAATGGCTTTTGCTTCTGCCTTGCAGGAGTCCCCTTCCCCAAGAACTTCCAGCAGGTGTGTACCAAGATCCTCACCCGCCTCTTCCGAGTCTTCGTCCACGTCTACATCCATCACTTCGATAGTATCATCAGCATGGGCGCCGAGGCCCATGTCAACACCTGCTACAAGCACTTTTACTACTTCATCAAAGAGTTCAGCCTCATTGACCACCGGGAGCTGGAGCCTTTGGTAAGAAGTTGCCTACTTCACATGGGGGTGAAATTCACCTCTCTGCAGAGAGAGAGCACAAGGCCTATTCCCCCACTGAAGTCCTTGTCCTCACCTTAATGGCCCTTCGCCATTGAACCCTGCTCTTCGTTTCCATTGTATTATTTTCACACTGACGTACTGCCAGCCGTACCTGACTTGATCACCCTCTTCTCCACTTTTTCCCATGAGCACCTCCATGTTTTCTCTCTTATGCTTAGGAAGAACTCACCAAACCACCACCTGATCCTCTTTTTAAGTCATTCCTTAAACCCTGCCTCTGCCACATCACCCAAAAAATACCTCCTGGTATTGGTTGGGCTGGTGACCACGTGGCCACTGAGACCACCCTGGCTCCTAACCTGTGCAAACACACCTCTCTGTACCGTTGCCTTGCCCTCGCCCACGCTTGCATGTCTGTTTATTCACCTGTTGTCTATATCTAAGCTTGTGAGCCCTCCTGGGACAGGGTCTCTGATTGTACAACGCCTCGTTTAACAGGGCCCTGATCCCTGGCTGGGGGCCTTACGTGCTACCACAATCACAACAATAACTTAGGTCAGCCCACCTGGTTGGACGCCAGCCATGGTGACGGGAAGATGAGTGCAAAGCATTTATGAAGGAAAAATCCAATGCGCAGCTACAAAACGGGGAATAATTGGTTAGGTAGTAGTACTGTCGAAAAGGATCTGGGGGTTACAGTGGATCACAAATTGAATATGAATCAACAGTGTGATGCAGTTGCAAAAAATGACTGATATGTATCATTCTGGGGTATATTAGCAGGCGTGTTGCATGTATGACGCTGGAGGTAATTGTCCTGCTCTACTCAGTACTGGTGGAATACTGTGTCCAATTCTGGGGGCCATACTCTAGGAAAGATGTGGACAAATTGGAGAGAGTCCACAGGAGAGCAACCAAAATGATCAAAGGGTTAGAAAACCTGAGCTCTATGAGGAAACATTAAAAAAAATCTGGGCATGTTGCTTCTTTTGAAAGAAGACTGATGGGGGACCTGATGAAAGTCTTCAAATATGTTAAGGGCCGATATAAGGAGGCCAATTGTTTTCTATGTCCACTAAAGGTAGGACAAGAAGTAATGGGCTTAATCTGCAGCAAGAGAGATTTAGATTAGATATTAGGAAAAATTTGCTAACTCTAAGGGGAGTTAAGCTGTGGAACAGGCTTCCAAGGGAGGTGGTGGATTCCCCATCACTGGAGATTTTTAAGTACAGGTTGGACAAACACCTGTCAGGAATGGTCTAGTTTTATTTGGTCCTGCCGCAGTGCAGGGCGCTAGACTTGATGACCTCTCGCAGTCCCTTCCAGCCCGACGTGTCTATGATTTTGTGGATGCAGAGAATTGTGATGACGTGAAGGGTCATTTGAATGGAGAGGGCTCCACATGAGCACAGAGTTCCTCCTTCACAGATCTGATTGCAGGCTCGGGGCCTATATCCATGCCTTTAACTCCACTGTCCTCCCCCACTGCCCGGCGGTGAGAGACATTATCTCCTGACCCGATTGGGTTCCTCCTGCCTTTGAGCACTGCACACTGTCTGTGTAGTGCCACATGGCTGATGCAGGGGAGTTACGGAAAATCTAGGTCTGCTGGAAGTTTGGGGAGAGGTGGGGAAGAAACCTATCCAGGTCCCTAATTAATTATCCTGCCTCATCACTTTGATTCTGACTCGGGTAGCTCAGCGGGCCAAAGAGCACTCAGGTTCATATGACGTCCCTAGCAATAGTTTAAGATGAACTAATTCTGATCTAATGGCCTGAAGCCCTGGCAAGTAGCACCTCAGCCTGATTAGCTCCTCTTCCTAATGACACTAATCGTGACGAGCTTGTTCGGTATTGATGAGCTGCATCTCAATAACTATTCCGTCCCAGTGTGGTTCATGCTGGATTGATTCCCGGCTACTCGAACATGTGACTGTCACGTGGCTGGAATCGGGGCCTGAAAATGCTAAAAGGTTTTCAAAGCTTATTTGCCAGAAGGGGTGACTGAGGGGTCCACTGAGGCCATGAGGAGCTGAGCTGCTTGGTACGATGATGCCGGTGTTCATCTGAAGGGGAACAGGCTGGATTCATCCTTGGTGTAACTTCATCTTCCTTGGCTCTTGGTGCATCTCTTAATTGGCGTCCAACAGACCCAACCATCCATGATAGCTCGCGTGCTCAGCAGATGGGCTTGCTCTGTGGGTGACCACCTGGGGGCCAAGGCAATGGCTCAGTCTTAGGTCAAATACTCTGACTCAGTGAGTCAAACCCCAGCAAGGTAAGTTCTTCTTCTGAGTCAGAGAAAGTGAGTCCTGGGGTCGTGGGGTGCATAGACGCCAGGCTGCCATGACCACGCAGAGGTTAACAGGTAGGCCAGCTCTCTCGGCTAAGGAGAGACTCCTTCAGTGGAAGAGCAGCCGCAAGTCGGACTTTCAGAGAAAGAGAATCAGAAACTGAGAGTCTGGAAGAGGGTTACAGGAGCGGTGGACTGGGAAGCAGCAAAGGATTGCGAGGAGCCAGTCCCTGCTGCTTAATGCAGGGTCCCTGGGAACCCAGAGAAGTGAGCAGGCCTGGCTGGGGTCTCCTACCATCCGCCAGCCAAGGGGATAGTAAAACCTTTTGGAGCCAAGGGGTCTGGAGTCTATGGGGGCTGGGATTATTGCCTCTTTGCTAGGGTGACTGGGCCTGGTCCATCAGACTTTTTACTGCCCCTCAAGGGGAAAGGCTATAGACAACTCCGCTGGAGTCCTAAGAGGAAGCCACCTTGCCCAGGTGACTGACGGTGGGGGGAGAGAAACTGAGGCAGTTGCCATGGCATCACGCACAGCTGGGAGAGGGCACTGACTGCCAAAGGCACCCCGGACCCCTGTGCAATTTGCTCACTTTCAGAAGTGACGGAAAATCAAGGTCCCATCTGCTTTGTGCAGTCCATAAATAGCTCAGGGCACTTCTCCTATGAGCAGGGGGATCTGCCCTGAGTTCCTTCTCCAAAACTGCCCTCCCCTGGACCATGTGCTGGCTGGCCACTACTCTAGTCTGCCCCAGAGATGGCTGCATTTTGCCAGAGTGGTGTGTAGAAGGCCAAATCACTCAGTGAGATCTAGCTAGTCATTTTTGTAAAGTGCTTTTCTCTGCTATACACGTGAAAAATATGGCTTGTTAGTGCAGCTAAGACTCCAACCGGAATCCCATGGGCTGGAAGCAGCAGCTGAGCCCCCTGCCCCCCCCCAAACAGTCCCCCTCTGGCTGAGACAGCGGGAGCCGTGCTAAGCTTGTCTCATCTGGGAGCTGCTCTTTTCCGCCTCTGGCCCCAAACACTATTAAAGACCAGGAAGCTGAAGAGGATGAGAGAGAAAAAAATGTTGCCATAATAAACCACTTCCCCCTTCCTAATGCTCTTTCCTTTAAGACACAATAAGTGGAAGTTTCAGTGCTAACATCCTTGCACCGTTTCAATAAGTCACGGGTCTTTGTTTATTTGATGGCGGGGGGGTTGCTGGCCGTGTCCTGGTATGAATTGTAAGAATGAGAAAATAATATTTTGCACCTAAATCGCCCCTTTCAGCAAAGGACCTCAATGCACTTTAGCAAGATGAATGAAGTTATTTTGCTTTTCGGAAGGGGGAAACTGAGGCAGGGGTAGACTAAGTGACTTGCTTGAGGTCAAACTGCAAGTCAGTAGCAGGGCCTGGAACAGAACGTTCAGGGTCCCGCTCTAACCACTAGTCTACAATGCCCCTGCTCCACACAGGAGACCGTTAGTCATCTGGTCTGACCCGTATAACACAGGGCAGATTCTTACCCCTAGCCATGGTGGTATGGATTTCTTTTGTGCACCCTTTCATGAAGCTCCTATCTAGATATTTCTTGTTGTTGTTCATTTGGAATATACACCTATAACACCTTCCTCCAATCCAGGCTGCTTCCCAAATCCAGCTTCCATGTTTGTGCGCGGCCAGTGTGAGCCCATTGGCAGTTAGACTAATGCCCGTTTTCTCACCCGCCACCGAATTTAGCCTGGAGAATATCACACTGAAAATCAATGTAGAAGCAGCTGGAATGGCTCTAAGGCAACGGGGCCAATTTGTGTGCAGCCTTGACAGCTGCTGACTGTGTTTTGGGTCATAGACTCAGTCCTTTTAAGTGGCAAATTGGGGAATGTAAGATCTGCAGAGAGCGGCTGCATCAGAGACTTTCTAGCTCTGCTCCTGCAGCCAAACTCCCTTTTTGCTCCTCTCACCGGGTGGTGAAGTGGCTATAACAGAGCCTGAGAATCAGGAGATGTGGCTCTTTATTCTGGGCTCTGCCGCTCACTCGCTTGTGTGACTCACACGACCGCCCCAGAGTTCACTTTCTGTAGCTATGAAGCGGGAAGGGTCTATCTAGTTCTCCTTGCTTATCTCATCCCCTCCCCCCACACACATTTGTTATAATATCTGAGTGCCTGGCAGTCCTTAATGTGTTTGTCCTCACCGCATGCCTATGAGTCAGGGCAGTGTTATCCCCATTGCACAGAAGGGGAATTGAGGCCCAGAGTTGCCCAAGGTCACCCAGGCACTCTGGAGGAGCAAGGAATTGAACCTGGGGCTCTGAAATTGCAGGCGAGCACCCTCACCACTGGAGCATCCTTCTCTGCAATAGTGTAGTGAATTGGCCTCAATACTCTCCAGTGGATGAAATCGGAATGACTCAGCTGTGTGTCATTGGCCCTATATGGCGAACCGCTCCTGTACTTTGGCGGAGTAGGAGGGTGCAAGTTCTGTTCCTGCTGTTGAAGTTTTGAATGGCCCCAGCGTGCCACATAATGACAAACCGTGGCATTCACAGATGACCAGGGATTGGTTTCAACACTTCCCTACCTCCATAGAGTGCACTGAAAGCCTCAAATACCCTCCTACTAGAGAAGTGTCGAGTATGATCTTATTACTGGCCAGCAGGTCCCTTGGCTAAGCATTGCTGCAGTGATCTGTAGAACACAC